TCGTATGAAGACCGTACACTTATCTATATATTTAAATAGTCTTTACAAGTGATCACTCACATATTACTAGCTATACTATACATACATGTCAACCTTACTTTAACGTTGACACGAAGTGTACGACGAGCCCTTTACTACCGATGCTAGTTATCAGGCACCAAAGATGATCGATAACTCTCCGGAGCAGTTAGAACGGGATTTTGTAGAGAAATAGTGTTTATAGGAGAGATTTTGATTAGAATAATTTTTGAAGCTTTTCTCTTAGATTCGATCTACATAAACGTCGACATTATTTTAAGATCGAATCTAAGAGAACAGCTTCAACAATTGTTCTAATCAAAATCTCTATTCTAAACACTATCTCTCTACATGGATCTTTTATTTTCAAATGGAAAGTAAATATAATTCGGTGCATCAGTATTTTCTTCTAGCAGGAATAAAAAGTATTAAGGGATAATACCACCCACCCCCTCAGAAATTGGGATTCTCGGTCAAAAAATCGGTTTTGAGATACGCATATGGAAAGATAGCCCAAAGCGTCTACTTTCAGAATTTGTATTGCTTTTGATTACAAAACTGGTTTTTCGGAGATTCTGAGCAAGTTTTCGAAGAGTCTCGATATTTTGATCTGAATGATTGTAATGATCAAGCAATAAAGAACTTCGAGTTAGCTTTAGATATTTATCAATTTTGTCTGCCTGAAAGTCATTTGGATATCGCTGATATTTACAACAAGCTCGGCGCGGCTTCTGCAATCAACAAAGAATACAAATTGACGCTCGAAAACTATTCTCGAGCCTTGATTATATACCAGAAATTGAATTCATTGTTTAAGAATCTGATATCCGTTTGTGCCCATTTGGGCTTTTGAATTGGATCTCCATTAGAATGATCTTTAGAAACCTGTTTTAAAATCTAAGATAATGAAATTGTGATGTGGTTCTCTTGTAGAACATGTCAAGCTGCCTGTACAAACTATATTGCACGTTATAAGTAGTCCAATTACAATTAATATGGTCTCTAACAACAACATTTTTGTTTCATATCAATATAAACAAAAATATATGTATGTGTATGTATATATATATCCAATTTAGATATATATAGAGTAAAAACCATATATTTATGCATATACAGTTTTTTTCAAAAATTAAACATTAAAAAGCATATCTTTTCTTTATTAACACATTCGCCACGATTCACTGTTGGGTTTGATGTAAGCTTTATTTACCGGTGGATCTCATGGCGAATGTGTCAATCACCCTCACTTTTAAACAGTTCTCGTATCCATAGTAAGAACTCAGTAAATGTGTTTTTATTTATATTTATTTTTAATTGTTTTTTTGTCTTTGTTCAATTTCCTTTTAGGCGATTCAGTTACTCACGTTAGTCTTAAAATGTATTGTTATTTTTTCCGATTTGAACACTTCGATTGGGATATGTATCAAAAAACAATGTCTATTGCCATTAGGCGTAGTCATACAAGATGTTGGCAATTATCTACATATGGATCGCCTAGAATTAATTAATATTCACATTCCAATTTCACTGGTTTTTGGAATATAAAGTTGTGGCCACTGCGACGATTACTACAGCTAGACCGATAAAACGTGGTTGACGTTTTTAAGAAATGGTGCGCATCAAGCAAGTGATGTGATTATGGTCGTTGGGTAACAAAAACCAGTGAAATTCATCTGACTCAGTATACAACAGGATCGGTAATATACAGCGGAACAAATGTGACTATGATTTAGCTTTGATGAGTTATGAAAAAGCATTGAAAATCAGAGTAAACACTCTGCCACCCATCATCCTCTACTAGCGTCAACATATCACCGTATCGCTATTGTACACGACAACAAACGTGACTATGATTTAGGTTCTATATTATATGCATTATCATTTTAGATTTGTAGAAAAAATTAATTACTTAAAAAAATGTTGTTAAATTTTTGAACATGGGATTATTATTAAAAAAATTCCTGTCCGTCCTACATTAATCACAAAAGCTTGCTCCTTGCCTAGATCGATAGAGAAATGTGTGGAGAATATTTATTACGAGAAAATATGCAAGAATGTTTGTTCTTTCCTTCCTGGTATTGACTAATTAGTACTAATTAACATTAATTTAGCCTACTCTACTAGCATAAAGTCTTATTTGTAAAATAGCAACGCAACGAAAAGATTCAAGCAATACCTCATCTGACAGAGAATTTCACGGGCTACAATATGGGCTACCTTAAATATTTTAGAATTCGTTTTTGGTCGCTCGGTAAGTCTGGTAAGTCGAAAATTTAACAATATTGTTTAAGTAATTAACTTTTTCCGCAGCCAAATAATTTCAGTAAGCCGAAAAAACTTCCGAACATACACTTTGAAGTGTCCTCTACAAACCGGGAAGGCCTGAAGAAAAAATTCAAAACTTGAAAATATCGCTGGTTTTTGGCTCACCCCCTGACAAGAGCTTCTTTTAAAATTTTCTGTTTCTGACTTTTAAATTAAATTTTACGGTTTTTAAAATTTTAAAATTTCGTATTTTTTAATTTAAAAATCAAAAACAAAACATTTTAAAAAAACTCTCGTCAGAGACTCCAAAATTCGATTCTGAACAACTTTTGCACTCAGAGTTTTGCTTCGAGCGAAACTAGCCATAAGGCAAGGCGAAAAATACTTTTAGCTCTGAAGTCTCCTCGGGAAGGCGAACGTTAAATTTCTGTGCCAAACTTCATTCGGCAACGATGAGAAGGGTTTCTCCGTATACAAATTAATGTTCGCTATCGAACTACTCTAGAATCAACTCTTCATATAAAAAAAAAATGAAGTTTTTATTGAAATTATAAAAAAAGGTCAAAAAAAATTGATCAAAAACTATAAATCCGGGAACCGAAAGCTTTGTTGGGACATATATTCCGAAATGTCCTCCATAAACTGCTGGAAAAAAAACGCTTAATTGACTCTAAACATAGTGTCGATGAATCAAGATAAAACAATGTCGACGGATCGAGCAAGAAATTAATGTCCAGGAAGCAAGAATAGATCTGTCCTCATAATTTAGAACTGTTTCATACCACAGTTCCTAAAACACCTGGAAACTAATCTTATATGGTTTGTAGAGAATTAAAGTCGCTATTGAATGATAAAAGAAATATTTTGTTTATATCTTACACTAGCCGATATTTAAATTTTGAGATGAAAAATATTTCGAAAAACTTAATTTTTTCAGGTACTTAGAAAAAGCTTTTTATTCAACAACTTTTTAAAAATATGTATGGTAGTGTGGTCTTTCAAATTATGTCAGCTGATTGTTTAAACTGTAGGCTGCTGATGGTACAAAACGAAAGATCATATTTTGCTGGGATTTCGAACTCATTTTCTAGGTCATCCTTGATTTTTTTCACCATCTGAGCTCATTTTCTGTCTGAAACTTAATGGTCTAAACTTAGATATGTTGATCTTTGATTTCTAACGAGAAATGAATATGGAAAAATAATTTTTTTCAAATTTTGATTTTAAATTTAAATTATAAAAACTTAACTTTTTAAAACTGAAAAGTAATTCTTTTCGAGCATGAGAAGGCTGTATGGAGGTCCCGTATACTGCATTTTCATAGTGGTTCAGCTAAAACCAAGCATTGAAGTCTTGGAGGCTTATAGGGTTAATAAATTTTAAAAGAAAATAAATATATTATATTGTTTTCAAAACTCAAGCAAATATCATTTTATATTCGAGTATAGAAATGCATGATCGGCAAGATAAACAAATTGATAAGTTCCGAGAAGAAAATATTGCGTCATACAATAGTTCCTAAGACATCTGGAATTCTTATAAGCAATTTGGAGACATATTCGCTACCCTGGTCGAGTGCTAATATGAATAAGTCCGTCGATAATATTTAGACATAGAAACAACTTCGCAAAATCATCAGTCACGTGAGTGGTTTGCCATTGTCGCTGCCATTGTCTCATTCATATTCCCATTCATATTTCTAGGTAAATTCACACTAACAATGGCGTCGCAGACTAAACAGTGCTTTTTTGTCTCTCTCGGATCAACGCGATGTAGCTCAGCCTAGACTTGATGTAGACTTTATCGACAATATGGAAAAGATAGCTGACAGTTAGAGTAACATATTGATACAAAAAGGAAATTAATTAAATTATGTCTTTAGAGGAGCAAAGTATTTTTAAAAATGGCTGTTTTCAGACTTAATGTTCCACGAGTTATTGAAAAATATTTGATTGATATCCCAAATTATTCAACATTTGGCTTTCGCTCTTTTATCATTTTTTCAAATTATGATATTAAACATTTTCCTAAAGTTTCGACTTTAGAGCTGTAGTCGTTTTTGAGAAAAGTGCATTTTACTGCGAAATATACCAATTGATTTGTCTTTTATCGGGAAAAATAGCTATGCCTTTTTTTAAGACTGTGGGATACATTGATCGTTACTCTGCGACTAGAAAACGCTAAATTAAGCAATGTTTTATATTTTGGCTGCAATCAGGCCTGAATTTGTGTGTGAATGAGTTAAAATACATACTGTCACATAGATCTCATCGATGTCTATGGAATAATGTATACTAATTATTTTGAGAAGGTCAGTTTGTTGGTTTATATCGAAAAAAGCTCGGCGATTTTGTTGCTTTGCCCACTAGAATCGCGTTTCCTGGGGAAAACGAAAGTGACAGTTGGGAAAACTAATTTTTTATCTACATTAAGTCTACTGAAATTCACTGGAATGCATGGAAAAAAGTTCAAAAGAAAGATCATTTTTTTCAAATTTTCTATTGTTAGAAACGCACATGATGCCTACTTAGAATACATGCACACTAAAGACGGTAAATAAGATACCATCAGGGATACCAGAATCGTAAGACGGAGTGAAGGATCATTATTGAAAATGCTTGAAGGTAAAACTCCCTCCCAGATTAGTAACACCCCACATATATATTTGTCTAAAAGCATGCATAAAAAACATCGTCGTCTCATTCTAGTAAAACATGACGTATGAAACAGGTATTTTTGTTTTTCATCGAATAACAGATGAAAAGCAGTGGAAATTGTTTTTAAAAGCTGTTTATGACTATTTTCTACAACATCAAAATGACAATGTTCGTATGACGGTGAATCGAAATGAAACAACTGGTGAATTTCAACCGCTTGTGGACGAATTGAACGCTGTTTCTACAGACCTGAAAGGATTACACTTAACAGACCAGTTTAATTTTATCACAGGAGATTGTGATAATTCATTTTTCGCTACGTGGCGCATAAACTTAGCGGAAAATCTTTATGGAAAACCCTGCTACAAATTAACTGAAGAGGAAAAGACAAGAGTTTGCACAGAAAGTATCGAGAAAATGAGAGAAACGATGAAACGTATGAATTATTCAGTCACGGAAGACGAATTACTCGAAATAGTTGGATTTAAAGTTGGTAACAGTCAAAAAAGTCTTTTGGTTGAACCACCGGTTGCAATTTCTATCGAAGGTATTACACTGCCTGTCTATGCTCATCATTTCAAGAAGACTAGAGGACAAGTTTGGCATCCAATGTGTTCAGAATCAGTCATCAAAATTTTTTATAAACTACTGAAAAATTATTTTTCAGAAGCGCATCATTATTGTTATTTCAATGAACTAAATTACCTCAATGATCCATACGAACCTCCAACACGATATTATTCATCTGATCGCAGATATCGACAACATGCTACAACAGAAACAATGGAAGAAAACGATGCATTCTATCAACAAATAATAGGTAGACTAGAATAAATGTCTTATTTAATATTTGTCCCATAACTATTTCACTTCAATGCTTTTGTTTGTTTGTATGGTTGATCCCGATCTTGTTTTATCTGACCGACTTGCAACAGGAAAGTTTAGCGAGTTTATTTGGTTTTTATTTACGAAAAGTTTATGGTTGTCATTAGTTGGACTTGGAGTTCTTTTTTTCGATTTCTGGTGAACGTACTTTTCATGATCGTGTCCTCCGCTATTAGAAAAAATATTCGTTTTCTGTGGGTCTCATCCTGATTCAGCGGCTCTTCTCGAGATGTACCATATGAGCGAGTCTATGACTGTGCTTGAGTCCATAGCAAGTGTCCGAAATCGACATATTGAGCTATTAGTGTCTGGGTATCAACATATTTTAAAAATTTCTTCCACTCTTTTGGCTGCTTACGAAAATTCATTCGAGTATTTTAAACGTTCTTTTTCTATTTTTAAACCAAAATCACTTCTTCACTTTTCGTACACTGATGCTTGCCTAAATTAAACCACAGACCTTCAACTGTTACTTCACTGCTCAACTATTAAAGATCAAAATATTGTGTCTGTGCCAGGCTGAGTGCTCTGCTTTTGTACTATGTGATAGTTTTGTTTTTCTACAATTTTGGATTTTTCCCGGTCAGCTTTGACACCGGCGTCATGATTGAAAATGAGCAACAATATCCATTATTAAATTTTTTGACTATAACAAGAAGTCATAACGATATTGTAACAGAATTTCGCTCAAAATTTTATTTATTACAATATGAAAAATTATATCCAATAACAGATTGTGTTTTAAAACATTTATCAGAGTTAGAGCAAATACAATATATCTATTCAAATTGTTAATTTTACAAACTATTTATTACAAAAATATAATCATCGTATATCACGTAATGAAGCATCAACATTTGAATTAGATCATTATATTAAAACTGATAATAATGATAAAATAATGCGGCAATTATTTGAGCAATTTCATCAAGCATGGTATGGATTAAAATTGAATGATGTAAAATTTGATTGTACTCAAATTAAAATAGATCGTACACAATCTAGTGAACAATTTTCCAAAATTAAGAAAATTAGCATTTTCCTTATTAAATATATCAACAGATAATAGTAGTTTAGAAATACTTGGTTGTTTACATACATTAGCTAAATTACAAAATAATGTCATTAATTTCTATAAACAGGTAATTAATCAACAAAGGATAAATAATGATGATGAACAAAAACAGTCAGCAATTGAAATACAAAAAAATAAAAGAAGAACATCTATTAGTAATATCATCTGAAACAATTGATACAATATTAAACGAAGAAAATGGTTTTATTATAAATTATGAATATGTTAAAACAAAAGAAATAATTTATGATTATGATGAAATTGAAAATCGATTATATAATAGAATAAATCGTATATAATTGATTGATACTGAAAATTTTAATTATTTTAATTATCAATTTTAATTATATCTAGGGGTGCTACTTTACTTTTACCAATTATTATATTATCCGGTAAAAGTAATAAACGTTTGTTACTTATTATCGGTAAAAAGGTAATAAATCTTGTTGTTTTATTACTTATTACTTCTTTATATAATAATTTTTCATCATTTTACTTATTCTTTTTTATTACTTTTCTTCTTAACAGTAATAAGTAAAGTAATAAAAGATTATTACTTGAAAAAAGTAATAAGTAATAAAGTAATAAGATTTATTACTTGTTTCCAGGTAATAACTAATACGTTTTATTACTTATTACTTGGTAAAGAACAGTAAAGTGACACCCCTAATTATATCATCAAGATGTATCACTATATAATGATATAAGACGAAATATAAAACAAGAGCAATTATTAATTGATGAAAAAAAAACATTTCGACAACTTTTAATGAATACAAAACCGGACGATATACGAAAGCTTTTAGGCTCATTAGATTATGTATTTACATATCTTCAACATTCTACTGGCAAACAAGCAACATTAAGAATAAAAAGTTTTGTTCAAACTTCAATACAAAATAAAACCCATTTACATTCATACATACTTAATGAACAACAACCCTTTGCTAATATTCAATTAAAATATATTATTAATTTCTATGAATTAATTGAAGAATTAGTATTCGATGAGATAATGAAAAATTATGTTAAACAAGAATTAACTACAGATGCATGTACAAATGATGAAGAAAAGTTAAATATTATTAAACAATTTATACGTTCAACATATATGTTAGATAATATTTCACAACAATTAAAAGATCCACGAATATAGCTGCCAGTATTAAAACGCTTAATTATACGTGTTATTACCGCAAATATTGATTTGAATGTTGGAATACAAATTTATATAGAACGAACAGATTTATAGAATGAAGATTTAATACGATATTTAGATCTTATTGATATTGATGCGACTATTTGGATACGACATCCATATATTATTTTAAAAGGAATTGAAACAAAATTAGCAATAATAAATAACTCGAATACTGATAGTAAAGCTATGAATGAATCAAAAAATGTTCGCGATTGGTGTCAAACAAAAAATGAAAAAATGAATCCATTAACAACAACAACAGCAGCAGCATCAGCAGCAAACGTCACGAAAAAGACAAAACGTCGTGTGGATTGATCATTTCGATTTACCAAACTGACGTACTGTTTTTCTCCTTTATGTTTTCTTTTTATGAAAATAAACTCCTAAAAGCCAAGAGTTGTTTGTTTGACAACAGAAGGAAGCTGATCACAAAAATAGAGATTGTGGAACCTCAGTATACTCATATTACAGCTCAAAAATATTAGCTTGTTTTTCTTCTATTGTTCCTTGGAACAGACATTCGGCCTTAACAGCATGAATTTATGAGTTTTCTTCTTTAAAGCAAAACGAATTCGTTTTATAGAAATAATTCTATTTATTTCACAGTTATCACACAAAGTATCGATCAACACACTTATTTTTGTAGTTTTATAAAAATAGCAAAGAAACAACACATCTTGTGCAAAAGAAATGTTCATTAGGTCAATATAATAATATTTAGTTATTTTTGAACATGATATTGTGTAAAACAACTTCTACTTGAACTAAGACATAAATGAACATTATATTTTGAACATTTCCAGTATGTTTTTCCAGAGCACATTTCATTTTTACACCGAGTATTATTGACAGCAGAGACAAACAGTAGCTAATGATTGAAACCAGAGCTAGGACGAAAGTTTTTGTACTTGTACTTTTCGTAGTTTTTCAAGTAAAAAGTACACGTATTCAAGAAGTGTACTTATATTTATAGTTTGAGAAAACGACTTGGTACTTATACTTGTACTTCGTGAAAGTACTTTTGTAGTTGTACTTAAATAAGAAGAAAAGCACTTTGTACTTTTACTTGAAATACGAAAAAGTATCTTTTTGTGTGTTTGAAGATCTTTCCTTTTCGTCGAAATTATCCGTAATCCTACAGCGATTCTTATAAGTTTCAATTCCTCACAAGGTTCTAATCACAAACTGATGCTTGTCTCTTGTCAAAATTAAAGTTGGGTCTTAGAACGCTGAGAAGAAGTTCTTCTTCGGTATTTCGCCTCTTTTCGTACCTTTGAATAATTGATCTAATTGGTCTTTTAATTCATTTAATTTATTTTAGGAGCAACAATAGAAATATACTATGTGTACTTTTCCAGTTGTCGAATAAACGATAATGTAAAATTATCATGCATAATAGTCGACATGAAATCATATCAAAAGAAAATTAGAGAACCTTGAATCTCAAGCATATATTGAAAATCTGTATTTTCCCAAAAAGCCACAAAATAACGATTTCTATGTACAATCTTTTTTAGTCGATCGACGGTGATGCGGCATGATAAAAGCTTTCGACATAACATCAATTTAGAGGAGCTGTATTCAAACTTTATTTATCATCATCATTAAATAATAATCTTCCTCATACCAATGAAGACTGGGAAAGTTTGTTGTCTTTTAGCTCTTTTTATTGTGCAAACAATGCAACAACATAAAAGAACGGGAGTGAAAATCTCAAAGAAATCGACTCCTCCTCTAGTTTTTCTGCTTTATAGTAGATCAATAGACAATTCATTTTTCAATTTTATGCAGATCTGCATAGGTTTTAAACTTTATATAAACGCTTTTCACAAAAAAAATCCACGTTTTTATAATCAATCTTTAGTTAGTATTTTATTTTCGATAGAGAAACTGTACGAAAACGTTTTTCTGTACGATTCAATCTAGTTGGTCGAACCGATCAAGAATACATGTAAGAGAGTGATTAGAAAACAAAAGAAGTAGCTTTTTAGTTTCAATACCAACTTCTCCCCAGTTGTCACCGACATCTTATACAGAAAAAAGCAAATTTTTCTAAGAATACATGTAAAAGGCTCATTAAAGTGTTTAGAATGGTTTGCCTTTCGTCTGCCATATTTGCATTTTTCTTTCAACTCTTTCTCTTGTTTACTCAAGAATCAGAAAATCAGCAATACAACGAAAATAATTTATTTTTTGTTATAAGAAGTGTAAACGTAGTTTTTGATTTCGATCTGTCATTTCAATGATGCTTTAACTCTCCTCTAAATTGACATACACATAGTCTTGATCAAAGGGAAAACGAATGAGTGATCCGAAGGTATGGTCAATAAGAGTAAGAGGCTTTCATATTAGCTTCGTCTTCACCCTCACAGTTTTATCTTGTTAGATATCCGACGATTTGATAAAGATTTCTTGATTGTTTCCACTTTTTGTTTGTAAGGCCGCCGCTAATTGAAAAATCAAGTGGAAAAGCTTTTGAAATTTTAAACACATATTCTGATTCGTCGGACGCTGCTGATCACGAATCTGATCTTATTTTTTCCATTTGACCGAGTTTTCATGCACAAAACCTCGAAATACTGTGAGGGCATCAAAAACCTCGAAAAATCGATTTTTCAGAAAAATACCGATTATCTCCTGATCTTATCATTTTTCGATCTCACCGGTGCGATTTTCGGATTCAGCATCGCGAAGCACATCTAGGCACTTGTCATTCAATGACTTTTTTTCAAGTGTTAAACTCTTGTAGTTGATCAAACACTGATCAGTCAAACCTTGAGGTTCTCACCGCGCAATGCTATCTAGTTTTTGCCATGAGAGCTAGAGACTTCTTTCATACGCCCGAAGATTCACCTTGCCTTGCTCCACAAAAGTATGCTTCGTTTTTTTCAAAACGTTTTTCCTTTTAGGAGAAACTAGGAAAAGGCTGAAAAAGTGCGAGTTTTTCGAAAAATCCTTCAGATGATGAGTCCATAGCTCAGTGATATTTGCACCTAGAGAACTGGTATTATGGTTTTCTAGGTAAAAAACAATGCTGAATACGTTAGAAATGTGTTTGGGAGGTTTAGAGTTTTCCAAGTAGGTTTCACAAAAATCCAGAAGTCTGAGAAACCTTCAAGAGCCTTTCGGAAATCGTTTTCGTCCCAAGAGCATCATATCGACAGAGCAAAATGAGACGTCCTCGAGCTTTCTAGTACGTCTCTAGTCTGAGATAAGGCCATTTTACTTTCAGAGATCCGGCTGACCCGAAATCCTTTGCGGGATTTGCATATAACTCAGCCTAGAAAGACGCTGGAAAGCCTGGGAAGATCTCATTTTATTTAGAACTCGAGATTTCCAGAGAGTCAGTTTTTCAGTAAACCTCGTCACTACTCTGTGACCCTTCATGAGGCATCGCATCTGAATGCGCATCGAGTTCTGAGTAAAAGGAAGGGCTTCCTGGGCTTTCCAGCGTCTTCCTAGGCTGGCGCCTTATAAAATGATGATTTTTGTGTTTCAGATATTAAACAAGAATGTGGAAAATAAAGTTTATTTATCCTACTTCAATCTAATGTTGACCATTAATAATCATGAATAATAAACACATTGATTATGCTGTGGAACCAATTTTTTAAAAATGTATTTTGTCTCATCTGTCTCATAAGTCTTTTTTTATGTAGAACGATTAGTTTTCAGCATATGCTAACTAAAGAGAATATGGTTGCCGAGAACATAACTAAATCTAATAATATATCCTACAAAAGTGTTATTGCTTGTTTTAAAAACGAGTTAATAGTTTGAAAACCAGCTCCTTTTCTTGGTCGTTTAAACACGTTTTCAGAATTTCACAACGCGTTTTTCGATCAATGTGAACGACAATGAAAGCGTTAATATCTCGCATTTTCAACGGAATATTTGTAATTCAATTGAAAATGACCAACAGTTACGTGGAAGCAAGCAATATCAAATTTTAATTCAAGTGTGTTAATCATCCGTTTCACACTGCTAGGATCGATCACCGTTAATAAAATAGAAACCGGGTTCTAAACTAAATTTTTCTGACTGAAGCACGGTGTTCGGTTCGCCCATGAACTTTCGTAAAAATACTATTCTGAAACCTAGAACACGGTCGTTTATTGTTAGTCGAACAGTCGATACTTTCGAGTTATCTGCTAATTCAACTGATTCATTAAAAAAACACTACCTATCGATAATAGGGTTTCTTCTTCAGCTAGAAATTCTATCGACGTGCCAACGCTGCTCAAAGGATTTGGTGTATATTTACTTCCAATTTCCATTTTTTTAGACATTTCATCCGTCTTCTTTTTTACAGTGATCGTGTGAAAGTTATTGTTCTTTGTTAACAACGTTCGTTCTTTTTCTATTGTTTGCTTTCCGTTTTTTTCGTGTTTATTATTTTATGTTGTTAGACGCTTCAATAATAATGGCGATATTTCTGTCTTTTGGTATGTTTAAGACGTTTTTGACTAAAATCAAATAAATCAGGTAAAAAAAATAGAAGTAAATAAAAAATGATGTTTCTCTTATAGCTGAGTGACTAAAGAACTACCCTAGCGAAACTTCTTGTACTCAAGATCTTGTGTTAAGAAATGTCATAAGATCTTGAAAAAAACATCAGGAAGTCAAGATCTTGGATTCTTGAATCTTTCACTTAAGATCTTGAAACATCTTGACTTACTTCACTCAAGATCTTGGAAACAGAAATTTCAAGATCTTGAGCGAAGGCACTCATAATGTTGCAGGAGCAAGAGAGACAAATTTTCTATATAGTTTGTTTTTATTTATGACAGTCGTAGCCATTGGATATACGACCATATAGAGTCATAGATTCAACTTCACAGACAAACAAATCCAAAAAACAACTTGTTCTTTTTGCCAATCGTTAAGTGTTCATAAATATATCGTGTCAAAGGTTTATTTCTTCGAGAATTTTCGTTTCCTTTTGTGTCATTTGAAAGTTCAGAATAAGGCTTAGCAAGAACTTCTGCTTATTAAAGGATAAGGTCGATTGGACTAAAAGCGTTATGTAACAAGTACTTACGATGTCGGTCCGTTACTTGTGAGTTGTGCTTAGTAGTGTCTCAGAGATGTGTTGTAGAGAACAAAAATATGTCTGTTGAGTTGTGTTTGATGATTATAAGTCATGAGATAGAATAATGACAATGAATTTCTGCTGATTATGCAAGATCTCTTTCAGCCACCGATCTATGGCTTCAATCGGTGTAAAAAAAAGCAAATTTTCTAAGTATACATGTAAAAGACCCATTAACGCGTTTAGAATAGTTTGCCTTTCGTCTGTCATATTTGCAGTTTTC